ATCCATCCACGTCATTCACCCGTCTGTGGATGGGTGTGGGCATTCTTTCACAACTTTTCTGCGTGGATCTGAAGTAAAATTCAGGCTGGATTCATTCAGTCGATAAAATACAAGCGTAATTAGGCTCTTAGATGCATGCATGTGTGCTGAATTTGTTCAAATGTTATTAAAAAAAACTCCTATTTATATAATATCGTCAAACAGAAATTTCAAATTTATATATATGAAACTCCGATGAAACAGTTTGTCACAGCCCCTCATTTGTTGTCCTCTTCTCCCTCTATGCCTACGGTTTACCGGGCAGCTCTGTTTGACGAGACGTATATGTATACAAACTCTGTTTGACGATATATATATGTATAATTTATTGTGTACATTTAGTACAAAGGACACATGTACGCAGGCAGTTATGCATATGGGCCTCGCTCCAGTACTCAACACTCTGTATGCATTTGGATGCCTTTCTGGACCAGGTGCGTTTGGAGTCGTCCAACATCTGGAATGCATCGGGACTGTTATGAGCTCCAGATGCATTTAGTGTTGTGTAGTGAAGCGATGCCCTGTCTACGTGATTTTGTACGAAAACGAAGGAAAAAAGTACGACGGGCTTTGAAAAGCTTAAACTTTAAAGGGGAGACTACCGGGCCAAGTCAAGGTTTTTCGGGTCCTTTTTTTTTTTTTTTTTTTTTTTTGATTTTGCAGTTTTAAATTGCGTTTCAGTCACGGTGTTGCAAATTTTGCTCCAAAGCGCGAGGAACATCGTGAATGTATCCTACCCAGCCAACTTTAGGGTTGGGGGGGGGATGTGTTGTATTCGATGGATGCCTGAAGTGGACTTAGAACTGAAAACGTGTCTGCGCCGTAGTTACACCCCCCAAAAAAAAAACAAAAGAAAAAAAAGAAAAAAGAACAAGACAGAGAATTTATTTTTCTTACAGAGGTTGGGACCCATGTTTTTCGGATGTGTGGTGAGAACTTGTTGGTCTCTGAGGGCATACTACCGCCTTCGCCCGAATAGAACGCACGGTCATTATCGCTGTATGCAGACTGAAAATTGCACCAAATATGGCTATAATGACCGGGCGTTCTATTGGGGTGAAGACCGTAGCACTGGGATTTCTCTCAGTCATGAACTGGCCCCCCTTTCCGGGGTTATAAGGTCTGTATTGACTCTGTAGACGTGTGTTTGCAGTGTCCAGAAATATCGAGATTGAGGGGTAAGCAAATTGAATTGCAATTATTGCATTCTTTCTCTCTTTTTAATAGTTTTATTTTATTTTTTCAAGTTTTTGAATCGAAACTCGTGCTGGTGGGACTTTTATAGTGTCATTTGTTTTTTGGTCCCTTTTATTAAAAAAAAAAGAAGTGTCATTTTTTGGGGGTGGTCATCTGAAAGTCTCAGTTGGGATTTTGTGATACAATGATG